CATCACGGTCTTCCCAGGATTGGCGCAAAACCGGAGCAAATATCGGCCTGTGGTTAATTAACCGCGGAAGTTTAATCAGCGAGAGTGACCCTATAACTCTGGATACGAAATAAAAGATAGTACACGATCAATAGCGAAGTCTAAATCTAATCCAAAGTTAGAGACTTGACATGAGAAAAGTATGATGCTATTCTGAGCGAAATGTTTTTTATCCCTCGAAATATAACTTGCCTCGCTTGTTCTTAAAGGTTAGATACAAAATCTCTATACCTTGCAAAAAAAATATTTTAATTCTAAATTAATTAATGTGCGATTAATTACTGAGAGTTTATTACTGATAAACATTACTTTAATCTTTTCATGAGTAATAAATTCATAACTTTTGTATGTCTGGAAATATTTTGTATCAGTTACACAAAATTAATTATTACCAATGTGCATTTTTCTCGATTATTAATTTTCTCTAGATTAATTTTCTACAAACACACACACAGAATACCCAGAACACACAGTGGAGATAATTAGAAAATCATTCTATTAACGCCTGTAAAAGAGAAATTTATCTTCTCGTAAATCTCATTGTTTATATGCAAAGCATAGATACGAAGATATTTCGGTTATTGTTTGGGAGACAAAAAAACAATAAATGATGCCTCTCCGTACTGCGCTTTGCATATAAACAATGATTTGCGAGAAGATAAATTTCTCTTTTGCAGTTGTTAATAGAATGATTTTCTAATTATCTCCACTGCATTTTGTCTGCAAAAATTAATCGTATCTAGAGAAAAAATGAGCGTCGGTAAAAATTAATTTTGTGAAACTGGTACGATTTGCATACATACGAGAAGTAAACTTTAATTTGCGAAGAGTGACTTGGCGTGTCATTTGTACTTTTGTTATTGATAACTACGACGCCCGAATACGTGGATACACAAGCGTATAGTAGACTCTGTGTAATAGCAGTACAAAATACATTTTCGGAAACAAATGCAAAGACCAAGCGTCTTTTGTAAACCGGCGAATAGATGAAAGCACTGCTGTTCACACAATAGATGCCTTTATTTCGCGTGAAAGGAGAAATCGCGATAGTCTTTCAGTCCAGAGGTGCAAGCCCGAAACAAAACATTGGCCGTAGGTTAATTAAACGCGAACGAGTTATAAGCGCTTTATAATACGCGCACGCAAATCACATAATGGGGTAACGCGTGCACCTCCGCCGCATGCTTCGGATCGATGGATGAGAAACAAATCGGCCAAATCAGAGAATTTTATATTAAAGATTCACGCGAAAAGAAATCGATGTCCTAAGCATTTTGGAAGCAAATATGATATTATCAAAACTGCATTCTGCAAATTAAAGAATTTCCCTACTTATACAATAATTAGTAATTTATTATATATATACAATATAGTGATTTGTTTTATTGGAATTATTCTTAATAATACACTCTTCGTAATTAGAAATAGTGCTTTCTCGACAGAACAACCTTATTTATTGCAATTTTTAAATATACATTTAAATGTCCAACATATGGATTAGAGTATATTTTGCTAGCTAAATCTTTTGCTTTGAATTAAAATTCTGGAACAGCTAGTTGGCTACTGAAGGCTGCTTGGATGTATGTCAACAAAAGTTTTATTCTAGCGTACTTTTAAAACATGCCATGACATACTTTATATTGTGACTAACAATTAGTGTGTTTTACGTATTATAACCTACTTTAATGTACTTTGACCTGCCGTCAGCAGTAATAAATATACAATATATGTATACTTAGTTCTCATTATCAATGAAAATGGTTTATTAATATAATACGTTTATTTTGAGAAATATTTATTTTACATATTATATATATTATAAACACTTTTATAATAATATATATGTATATGTATAATTATAGAATGTTAAAATAACGCGATAATAATATATAGTAAGTGTGGGCACTCTAGCTATATTATTACATTATTATTATTACATTATTTTAAAATAATAAATTCTATAGAAAATCTATACACATATTATAATATGTTGTGTGTAAGTATATATGGATATGTATGTATGTGTGTGTATGTGTGCATATGTATTAATATATATATATATATACACACCCAACCTATTCAACAATTCTCATATTTCTTGATTATAATTATGTACATACTAATTTCAATTCGCTTAGGTAATAGTTTTCGATAAAATAAATATTTCCTCGAGAGATTTGCGAGAAACAATATAGATTAAGTGCTAAATTACTTTTCCTTCAATTATCAATTCTTATACTTTGAATATTCCTCTTTTCCTCTATTAAACCTTCCATTCTCCATTACAGACTCTTATTTACTCGAAAAAAGAAAAAAGATGTAATTGAATAAGAATAGGTTGACATTTTAGTCGTGCCAATTTCTTTTATCAGCCACTTAATTTAGATCTGAAATAAACACTTGCTTAATGTAAATTTAATTGATCAATTATAACTAAATTATGTACTATATATTTTATCTAGAATTCCTATCATCTCAAGAATCTTTAGCTTAGTTAAAGCCATTATTATGTTTACAAGTTTCTGCGTACAAAAATGATATGGAATCATAATATATGTACACACATGTGTAATAAACATATGCATATAATTTCCTTCTCACGATTATCATTATCATTATTAAATATCTCGATGAATAAACAATTCATTACGTCGCGTAAGAATGAGACTGACAAGGCCGTGATACTGATTGAAAGAGTAGTCCCCTCGTATCAATACTAATTACATACTTGTCACCCCTTGATTATCTCCAATCTCCGTAACAACGAATTAATATCGGCACACGCTATGACGCACGCGATATTATGTATAATACAATTTATAATATACGGCATATATCTATTATCAACATTAATTATTCCGCGGGGTAGCTACGACGCATGGTGTGAGTAACTACGACAGTAATTAGCTCAGTAATCCACGGCGCATTCTGTGCAGTTCCACGGAACACAGCGCCGTGCGACGCGATGCGTCGGAGCGTTGGGAAGTAATTTTGTATGCAACGGGAGACGCGCTGGCCGAGTCCGCGGGAGTCCACAATTTCAATTGGAAATTATAATGGAAATCTACGCCCGGAATTTATTTCGGATCCTCCGCGAGTCGCTAATCCGAGTAAAAGAAATCCGCGTTACAGCAACGAGGGTCCATGACGCAAACGATGTTTACGTCGTGGAAGGAAAAAAGGGAGATCTCTACGAAACCGTCACAATCAACTGCCGGTTCGATATTAATACGAGTCGAGATTAAAAACGAGCGTTAGAAGAAAATGCAATTTCTCCTCTTTGTTTCTTTAGTATATTCATACCATAACGATCGGCGTAATCCGGTATTACAATATGGATACGTGGACTGATGTATGCATAAAACATAATCGTCTATATACAGGATGTTTCCTAAGAACTGTTCAATATTTTAAGAGTTGATTTTCGAGGTTTTTACAGTATGAAGAAAAGTGTATATAAAAGTATAATTTCAAAAGTCACGTTTCAGAGATATTGACTTAAAAATGCTATAAAATTATTGGTTTTTTTTTTTAAATAACTCTCTCTGTTCTAAACAAAAAAAAATTTTCTTATTTAAAAACTCAGGCTTAAAAATGTAAGATAATCGCAATAGACAAAACAGTATTACCTTAATTTTTTTTACTTACAAAATATACGTCTAAATTTTACCTGGTGTGCTTTCGAAGGAATTTACAATATTAACATAAAATAGTTAATTTAATTTAAAGATATATCTACTTATGCTAAATTCGATGTCAATATCTCGAAAAAATTAGACATAAAAACTTAATTTATTTTTTGTTTAAAAACTTTGAAGGAAGCGATCATTTTTAGTACTCTATATCTCTCAAATATGTATGTGAGAAAATCGAAATCCTATATTCGTATGAACTTTTAATCATAAATGATCTCAAAGGATTTTTTAAATATTAAACAGTACTTAAAAAAATATTCTGCATGATACGTATCTTGCAAATATAAAGCGGATCAAAACGTGAAGTCCCGAGCGTATTAATAAAAATTCACCTTTTTATTTATTACACAGATCTCTCAAAAGCTAAACTGATTCCACAAAATATGAAACAGACAAAATCGATGAATTTGTAAACTAAATGCTTTAGTACTAAAGTTTAAAAATTTATAAAAAAAACAAAATCGATGGATTTGGCTTCTGAAGAGCTATTATACAACAATAGAATGCATACCTGATATAATTTTTAGTTCGACTACTGTAAAGATTAAAATCCATGTTAATCCGAATATTGAAACTCTGAATATTCGAGTATAAATAAGACGCATGTAGGTATACAACGCGGCGCTGTACGACTCGCATTGATCTGTCTTGACTTTCGTTCGTCCAGCACACACACACACACACACACACACACATTCACACGCGCGCACGTAGCGTGGTACGTTCAATATGAATAATGGATTCAAATCAAACCAGCCGTTTAGCGTGAAAGCGTGTGCCGCGGATTCGCGTCTGTTTGCATATGCGGATTTAATCTGCGTAATTTGTGTAAGTCGCCTTCCGATCGCTCTCTCGTGCGCGCGGCTGAAAGCGCGCGCGTGACGGAAGACGCAATTATTAAATAACAGGCAAAATGGCAGTTGGTATAAGAGAAAGAAAGAAAGAAAAGGGGGGAACGAAAGAGAAACAAAGAGAAAGATAAAGAGATGGAGAGAGAGAGAGCGATCGCTTTATCGCCCGGTTGTACTCTCTCGGCTTTAACATGTTGCAGCGGCAACAGCGAACATGGTGCGCCACGGCGGAAATAACGCTCGACTTAACTTACAAGAGACACGCTACCGTTTCCAACGGGAACGTCCCGTCGTCGCGACCCCTCGTCGATGTGTACTCGATTACCTCGATAACGGGGGCACCTCGACGAATAACGCCGATCGATTTCGGCAACCGATTTACTAACGGATCCACCTGTCTCTCTTGCCGTTTCAGGTGACAAGATGGCAGCGATACAACGTCGCAAAACGTCGGCAGCGAAGAGGAATCTGGCGAGCGTGCTGGTATCGGCGGTACTCGTCGTAGCGGGCGTCGTTTTAACGCGATAAGCGTTTTACTTCGAAAATGTCCATAACTATTACGTCATTACTTCCGTTTGTGATAGATAGGATATTACCCTTCCCCCTCCTCTTTTCCCCTCCGGGACTTTATCGTCCGACACCTCTCCCTTCTCTTTTTCATCTTTCCCCCCCCCCAGGCTCACACCCTCTCCCATCCATTCCTCGCGGGTCTTCTTTCCTCCATAAACCACATGCTCCCGTCTTCCATTCCATCTTCCAACACAGTTCCAACTTCCCTTCCCTCTCATCCGTACTCGTCCCTCTTATTCCTTATTTACTTTAGTCGAAGTTGCCGCCGGCTGGACTACTTAGATATGCGAGATTTTCGTGGAAGATTGCGCGATTGCCTGCTCCAAGTCATTACGCGCGACGCGCATGCGACTCGAATTATGTAAATACTGCCCGGGTCGAATACGCCACGACGAGGCGGATTACGTTAGGCCAGGCCTGTCCAACTTCCGGAGCACCGATCTGCTGATCGTCCGTTTTCGACAGACCAGATTTCAGACCTGTCGAATGGAAAATTCACGCGGTCAGGATAAACGAATCGATCGTGTCGCTAACAAGGTTTATATATATATATATATATATATATATCTCTTAGATATCGAAATAATTGATTAGGTGGGTTCCAAAAGCACAGACTTCTAAATGCGTGCATGTATGATACAAGTCTATGCGTTGCTCATATCTGTTATAAACACTGCCTTTCCTTTGAGAACATCTTACATTATTTACTATATTTACAAATGGCACAGTTATCATCTTCACAATTTTAATTCTTGAACTTGTGTGTTGTTCCAAAATCATCGATTTAAAAAAAAAATGACCAAGTAGCGTATATAAACCGAGATTTGATAGTTTTTGCGAATGTGTCGCTCAAGTGATTTTAAACAAAAATCACCGCATTTGATATAAATCAGAATTAGAACAGTTGGAATAATAAAATCTAGATATTCGAAGATTAATTTCAAGAAAATAAGTGATCGGATTCTTTGTTTATTTAAAAAAAATAACATTCGGCTCGAAGATTGGGGCGCTTTTCGAATAAATTGCATACAATAACAACTATATAAGATTCACGAGATTTTACAGTAATATAAATTTTAATTATAAGATAATGCAATAAGCATAAAAAATGGACTGATTTATACTGATTATTGTAAATTGAATAGGTGGACTATAGAAGCTATATTCGATATATTTTACAATTTTACATCGTAAAAACAATACATTTAGTAATAATAGTAGCGATTAATACGACAGTATTGCGACTAAGTGATCTTTGTCACAAATTAATTCGACGTTATAAGTTAAAATCAAATTAGTTTCGCGTCAATTATTTACAGCTTATCGAGTCGCAGAAAAAGCATCTGTTTACAAAGATATGTACTCGATCATTTCATTAAGACCGTAATAACTTCATAAGTATTTCAAATCAATCCGAATGCCGCAATGCGACCTTTTTCCATTTAAATCTGCTTGAATAACACACGTTCCCATGAAGTCTGGAAAATTTCTCTCGGAATACACAAACAAGAAGAATAAAAAGAGCGAATACATCCAGTCAAAACACGAAAATTCACGTTGACGCTCGAAGGCGATTGCGAAGCGTGTGTTTCTACTCACGCCACAATCTTACGTTTTTCGTTTCTACAAAAATTGTTATGAAAAACTGTTCCCTTTACAAGCGCGCGAGAGCGCGGGTCTCGTAGAAGTCGCCCGCTCTTTGCGACGTCGCGTCGTGACGGCATTGCGAGATGGAGATCGCACCGTCGCGTCGCACGAAAACGCGTTTATTGCACGACACGGCGTTGCAAGAGTTTATTACACGCGGAACAAACGCGAACAAAAGCGCGGTATGTACTGCAATTCCGGAGCGTCGCTCTCACGGTACCGTCATTAAAGACCATCATTAAGGCGTCTCGCGGCCGCGTTGTTACGAGTTATACTACTGGATGAGTCGTTCACCTGTCGTTACATTCGAAGAAGCGTCGGGGAAAAGATTGTGCGAAGTGTTCTTCCGCGTTGTGACTTTTTGTAGAATTTATTATCTTTCAATTAAAACCGTAGCTTCACGAATATTTTGAAACTATCATTTATGATATTGAATACCGATATCAACGTAAATAACTTTTTTGTTGTTATAATATAGCAAATTCGTTTTATAATAATGATTAATAATGAAGATAACTGCCATCATTTTATAACAAAATTGATAATGAAAATAATTGTCTTTATTATTATATAAATCATTGTTAGAAAATAATCACGCTATACAATGGAAAAGTTATTTACTTTTCGCACACTGGCATCGGAAGAGCGTCATCACGTCCATTGCCGAATGTTATTTTTTACGATAATTATATACGACGATAAGTATATTTTCTTACAGAGTATGTGCGCGTAAATATTTGCACGTCCTATATAAATTAAAGAATCGCCATCAGTTGAATATTGAACAACTAACATTGTGACATATATTGCAAGAATCGAGCCGCAATAGCTCTTATTTTAAAGTTGCAAGCGAGCGTTATACATCGTTCCTCTTGTCATTGAACATAATTCCTCTCGGTGCTCGCTCTTTCACGTTTGGTCTGTGACTTATTTATTATTAAAGTTCCGATCTATTATTCATCTATAGAGTTCCGAAAATAAATGACACACTATTACGTACAAATGCATCGATATGATCAAAATAACACTGTAAGAGACATCATCGCGGCATCTCATTAAATATTTCTATATAATGAGATCTAATTATGAATAATTGTGAATTGTGAATAATGATGATAATAAAATCTACATGAATTGATCTATTATTCTAACCAATTTCGATTTTACGAAATTATCATTGTCATTGTTCTTTAATAGCAGTAGCGGAGGTTCGTAGTTTTGTACGTATATTACACTATATTTTTCAAGCGAACGAATTCACGAATAAAACTATGCATCACAAGCGGATTTACCGAATTGTTTACAATGTGGCATCGTCAATTAGGCATAAAAGCAGAGCTCACCAGTTGGACAGGCCTAATACGTGGGCTCACTGAACGACGGCGGCGGAAACGTGTCATACTCGGCCTCGCCGGCGTTATTTTTGAGAAATCCACGAAACACCACCACCACGTAGCATGGTTTTCTCTCGCCCGAAACACTGTACACATCCGATACGCGTAGCGATTAAGACGATTCAACGGTTCTTTCTGTATATCCTAATTTAAGACGAGACGTGCGCGCGGAGATACCAAAAGAAAAGAAAAAAAGAAATCGTAGGAAAAGTAGGATAAACGGTATTTTGTCGGAAATCGAATCCTTGCTCCATCTTCGTTTGTATACTTATGCGTTATTCAGACGACACGTCTCGAGAAATATTTCCTGAAAAACGTCTCGCTTTTCTCCCATGCGCGGAAGACGGATACGTCAAGGAAAGCTCACAGGTGGGAATTCTGGAACATATGCCCGACGTTTTAATCCTTGAGGGATACAGTGTACGTGAGATTCACACAGCCGCGATGAAATCTTGGCGGCGTGTCGGAAACTAAACGAATAAAAGGTACGTAGGATACGAGACATGACTGGGAGGCGTGGAGAATGCGGGCCCGAAGCTCTCTTTGAGATTCTTCTTACAGACGCGAAATCACGTCTAATGGAAATCTTACAGATTTGACGCGTGAGAACCACTTTACGGTCGAAAATCACGTATACGTCGTATCGTCGATATTATGTCTTCAAGAACGCGGCCTGTATGCGACGCAATCTGTATCATGATATAGCGATTTATTGTAGTAAAATACACGATATGCGATAAAAAAGAAAAAAGAAAAAGGAATTCTAGACTTCTATTCTTCGGAACGTGGCGGCGAGCATCGACGAAAACGTTTATCGACTAAATCGCATGTATACCACGTTTTTAATCGCAAATCGCAAATCTGTTACATTAAGACTAATCGATGGCGGCACGATTATCTAACACTAGTTCCAGAAACGTGAACATTAAAAAAGATATCATCTCATTTTTAGAATTTTAATATATGTAGCTATCTTCGTTTATAGAGGATGTTTATAGAAGTATAAAAATTGTTGATTCAAAAACAGCCTTGTAATAATCGTTATTCGTGAAACTTCTAATCAGATTTTATTGCCGTTATTAGGTATACTTTGTTCAATAAACTCATTACTTTTCTTTGGTTCTGTCTAAATCTCTCACCTCGAAAGCGGTTAATAGTTTTACGAGGCAATTGATCATACTCTAATGGCTGGTATAGTTCCCACGGTAGAAACAATAGCGTAATATTTCACGAGCTCGCATTCAACAATTCGTTCTAAATTTATCTGCGTTTAATAATAATAAGCGCGCAAATAAATATAACGCGCATACTGCAGTAATTTTAACGGGCCACGCTTTCTGGTACGTAAAACACACATTACAGATTCGTATGCATGAAAGTCCCGTATGAACCATGTGCGTAAAATTCGTGGAATTCCTATCTACATCCTGCAGATCTAAAATTTTAATGAAGTTACCCAGGATATAAAAATGAAAAAAATTCCTTTTCGAATAATGTCTTCGTATGAATGTCGTGAAACTCAAATCCGACCCATATCACATTGCGTGCCAGCATTACTTTATTCGTTATTACATGAGCATACATTGTCAAAGGATTTATTCTGGTGCGCCACGAAGGCAGACGTATCGTTAAATGTTTGTTCTTCCTCGTGACAGAGAATCTTCTAGCGATATATTTATAAAACTGTTGTTCTGACGTCGACATACAAATAGCCCTCTCTCTCTCTTTTTCTCTGATCGAATCTATTAAGCGTTATTAATAGAAATATGCGGAACGCGAGATGTCAATTCTAACAGAATGGAATTCTACAGAATTACCGTCTACGCTATTACCATCACGGATCTGTCATCGTGTCAAATCGCTCGTTTCCTTTGATTTTAACTTTTGATCGTCTACCCGTGATAAATTTACGGTTACAGCTTTATCAGTCGCGCTATTTGAAATTCAAGCAGTCTACAAAGAGCGGTTATCGAAATTCAACAAATTTTACGATCCCTTTCCGACAGCTCTCTAATCGTTCCTCGCGATCACCTTGTTACTGTAAGTTAATAGCTCCTTTACGTGTACTGGAGTCGTCTTTCTAGATCCAAGTATCCATTTGCACGTGTTACAACGTATACAAAGCATGTACACAAATGTATGTATATTTATATCGTTTATTCTGTTTATTATTTTTGTTTACTGTAACAATATATAGAATGGTTTTATTAACACTTTGATTGCTATATGTATACAATCGAGTATACATCTATGTGTGTTCAGAACATTGCCATATCAATTTT